TTAAAAATCGTTTTAACCTTTATTAAGATAAAGAAATGAAGAAAAAACAGTTGAAACACTTTGAAATGTAGACTACTAAGTAAGGCTTTCATTTTAAAAACATGCATTCTTCCCTTTAGCTGGAGAGAAATTTTAGAAGGAAAATCCCCCTTGTTTGACATCTCTTAGACTTAAATTGTGATACGCTTCTACCCCGATATAACACAAATTCGGATATAACGCGGTAAAGCAGCACTCAGGGGAGGGGGGGGGGGCTGCGCACTCCAGCGGATCAAAGCAAGTTCAATATAATGTGGTTTCACCTATAATGCGGTAAGATTTTTTGGCTCCCGAGGACAGCGTTATATCGGGGTAGAAGCGTATCACAATTTAAGTCTAAGAGATGTCAAACAAGGGGGATTTTCCTTCTAAAATTTCTCTCCAGCTAAAGGGAAGAATGCATGTTTTTAAAATGAAAGCCTTACTTAGTAGTCTACATTTCAAAGTGTTTCAACTGTTTTTTCTTCATTTCTTTATCTTAATAAAGGTTAAAACGATTTTTAATGGTGTGTTTGCTATGGTACTAAGCAGGCTGTGGTCTCTATATGCCAAACTCCAAACCTTGTTTAACACTGTTTAATGTTGGACAGTGACTGTGTTACATCAACACCTTTGACCCTTTAGCCCAGATATTCCATCTGAATTAATACAACACATCTAACCTTAGGAGAAAGTCCCACCAGGATATCAAGACAATACTGTCATGAATAGCTTATTGGTAAATAGTTCAAAGGACATAATGCTTTAATAGCCCAGCTTTCTGATCATACTATGCAAAAACTCTTTAAGGAAATATGAAGCATGAAATTAGATTTAAATTTATTTTAGGGAGTAAGAAGAAAATGTGTCAACCTCAGATTAAAGGGGGAAAAGATACCCTCTTTGTCTCTGATCCCACAATGAGATGTGGGTAGGTGGACCCCTATGTCCTTAGGGAGCACCACTGAAATCAATGGAGCTCCGTGAAGATGTAAGAGTATGCTTTTGCAAATTTCACTACAAAATCAGTGCCATAGTTCATTGCCTCCTTCATTGCTACTGACCTGAAAGAACGATCAACAATAGTGAACACATCTCCATGCTTCAGATGTGCAGGTTGCTGAAAACTGTTACCATTCAATTGCGTTGGATTTACAGTACTTAAATTAATCAAGATTGCCTACAAATGAAACACAAATAGCTAGTTCAGTAACCTGAAGAAATGCAATGATGGAATATAATACAATTAAAAACAAAACTTACCTCCTTGTTCTCATTGACTTCAATTTTACAATGTTCTTTTGAGACTTGAGGCAGCTGTATGCGGATATCGCACTCCGTTTTCCTTTGGTTGAAAAGCACAACTTTAGTTTTAAGCAAGTAATTAAGAGAACAGAAAAACTATTTTAGAGAATTTGCTTCTGAGCACGTGATCATTTAATATCTGCAAAAATGTTATGATGCTGTTTGAAAATGCAATATAAAAATATTTAAAGTCAGCACAAGCACTAAGAAAACCTAAAGCAAATTTTAAACTAAATATACACTATTAAAATTTACAGCTTCTTTAACTAAGAACTAGCTGGATATATGTCCACCAACTGCACGTACATAGACAATTTTGAAAAATCTTTCACTTCTGCACAAGCACTGTTGCAGCTCCACTATTGCTAGCAACAGTGGAAAGTTTCCCAAAAAATCAAAGACAAAATAATTACCAGTAAGTTACAGAAGATTTCTCCCTCCCACAAATGTTGCTTTTCAATCAAATATTTACTCTAACTTGACAGCTTTAGTGAATGATATTGTTATGTATTTATCCACACGTATACCTACAAAGTATTCTTTTCAGACTACAGGATTCACACCATTAGTACTTAACTCCCAGATGCAATACAAGAGAAAAGAAAGCAACATGCTGGCTAAACTGCTTAGGTACTTTTAGGGTATTGTGTTTGGTTTTCGTGCTAATGTCTAAAGCAGTCAAAGAACCAGTCCTGAAATTTAAAAAGGATAGAAAAAAATAGAGGAAGCAGAGAAAGAAACATGAAATCTAAGAATTGCAAGTAAAAAATGCATTTATCTATTCTGGCTCATATCATCATAATTGTTTACTAAATTCCAGTTGCAGGGCCAAATTTGAAGTCAGAGGCAAACTGAAGGCAAACGTAGGCCTACAAAATCTTTCTTGCTGCTAATATGTGCAAGAGAAAGAACACAACTTAACTTTCAGAGCCCAGATTGAGTTTGGAGTCCTGAAGAGATTTACCTATGTATATCTGGTAGAAACTATATATTAGGAAATTTGAAAATTGCAGGCCCTCATCTTAGAATTGGATCAGTGCAGACACATGAACAGCCCCACTGAAACCAGTGGGGTCCATGTGAACAGAGGAGTCGTATAGTGAATTTGACTGCAGGATTGGGGTCTTATACAAGGCTCTCAGATATGATACTTAGGGTATGTTTACACTGCAATAAAAGCTCCCACTGCCCAGCAGCAGCTTGTCTGAGTCAGCTGACTCAGCCTCTTGGGGCTATAAAATTGCACTGTAGACAATCAGGCCCATGGGGGCGGTGGTGGGAGGTGGGGAGAGAGAGAGCGGGTTTCAGAGTCCAGGATCCAGCTAGCTGTGTACCCTGTCTACTATAAGAATTTCCTCTTCCAGTATAAAATAAAGTGTTGTATTCAAAACTCAAATTTTAATATGTTAGGTGCTATTATTCAAATACACAAACCTATGTTTGTTTCACTTTTTCTTTGAGTAACATTCAAAAAATTAATATATAAAACAATTTATCAACTTTTAAGAACATTTGTGTTATTAGTTCTAAGGACAGCTCAACTTCTGTTCACGCTTAGTAACAAACATCACACACATCAGCATGCTGACTTCTCAACCTGCCTGAGCAGCTTGCCAGATATTCAGTAGAATACCATTTCCACACAAGAGAGTAATCCAAGTAAGATGCCACTCAAAGTATATTTTACAGATTTTCAAAATATGATCATACATGTTCTCAAAGCTTCTTGAGCTTGGCTCCTTTTTGGCGATGCTTGCATCTGCCCATGGGTTCTGGTTAGACTCCATGGGCTTGATTCTTTTTTTGACTGGCAGTAAAAGAAATATCCCTAAAGCCACTTGGAGCACCAAAATCAGACTGTCGATCTCAGCAAATTGCACAAATCTACAATTTTCCCTCTCCTTTTTTAAATGAGGAATGAAATAGTTAATGCTGACATTAAATTTTTATCACTATGTAACATACTTAACAGAGATGATGCAGTACACACCTCTCAGAGGTATTTCATGCTCTCTGCAGACTCCTGCAGATATCTCTTCATCAGTTTCACTCTGTTGACACTTTTTACATTTTCTTTTGAAACCATAACAACTATAAAGTTACTCTTCGTGTCTGTTTATTTTTTAAAGGAAACCATAGATTCTGAAGAGCAAGACAGGAGTTCAAGGGATGGGTCGGTACACTGTACCACCATGTACTGACTCAGTCTGTATCCCCAATGGCAGCAAAAGATCTTTTCTGACTTTTGCCTCTAGTCCCAACTCAGCCTTGATTCTTTCCTTTAGTGACCTCCTCCCTCTATTAGGCTTCTGTCCCCTGCTGGCCAAGCATGAGTTTTCTTCCCCACAAGCTCCCTGCTTCCTCTAAATTCACCTTTACTACAGAGTGAAGCTGAGAAAAGCAGCTATGTTGTGCAGTCAGAGGGTGGAAGTTCAACTGTTTATCCTGGGAACTAGCTTGAGCTTTTTTTCCTCCATTAAACATTCCCTCACTACTTGCAAATATTCAAACATTTATTTGTATTAAACAGCAAAGCTTATAAAATAAAGAAAAATATAACACTAAGAAGAACAAAATGTTAACAACATGTTCTCTTGATGTACATAAATATATTTCTAACATTACCAATTCTTACCTTCCAAATAAACAAGAACTTGCAGTGAGTGGAAAATGGATTCCATCGGTCCCATTCCTTTTAATAACAACAATTTTCCCAAAGAGCGGCATCTTTGAAACTGGAAGTCTTACCTGTAAAGGAATGGCAAATATACTATCCCAAATTAAGCTCTACATATTTATGAACATAGGTACCTTGGTTATATAAATTATGTTCAAAAAGCAAATTCTCTACAATTTACATGCAGAAGGATCGCAAAGTTTTTTCACTCAAAAGGGTTCGTGGGAACTGTTAAATGATACCTAATAACAGGAGGTGAAAGCTGGCATATGTTCATAGAAAGGCAGACGCGCAGAATTCATGGGCCACGCAGAATTATGCTTCCCCAAACAGAAAACACATTCTGATGGAAAGGTGCTGCAGATACTCCTTTCACTCACAAGGGACCGCTGTGGTGCCAGAAAGCAGCCACTCCCAGGCGGGAGCAGCCCCAGTTGCGAATAGGGAAGAGAAAGAGGGTGGCTTCCTCACAGCGCCCTGCCCATGGGGCCAGGCAGGTGTTATTGTGGGAACCGATAGCATGGGACACATGGGGTTGCTGGGGGGGGGGGGGGGGGGGGGGGTGTCACAGACTGGGGGTTCAGAAGGGCTAGTGGCGGGGACAGACTGGGGCAGGAGCTGAATGGGAGTGGGGGTGCAGGGCTACATGGGGACCAGGAGAGGAGGGATACATGGAGATGGGGGGGGATAAGAGGGTGGCTAAGTGGGGGTGCAAAGACACATGGAGATGGAGCAGTACAGGGACACATGTGCCTGACTGAGACAGGCTGGATGTCCGACAGGGTCTGCCTGGGGGAAGCTCCCTAACAATCTCTCCCCCCACCCCGAAAAAAATCCTGTTCCATACTTCTCCCACCCAAACCCAACAACCCTCCAAGTTCACGCCCAGGCTCTTCCCCAGCAAATACTGTGTTGTTTCTACAAAACATGCAGATTTTTAAAATATTGTGCGCATATATATATATATATATAGGTGCAGAATTCCCCCAGGAGTAACTGTATCAAGTTGATGTAAATAATTACTTTTCTATGTTTACATATGTTTGGTATCTAAGTATCACAACATTTCCATAACTGAATGCTTTAAAAAGGGGGCAATATAAACTATATTTATATAAATGAATGTGACTTGAAAGTTTTTATGTTTATTTTTATGATTATTAGCTTTCCTATGTGCCAAAATGTTTTTCCCTCTCTAATGCTGTGTGAGTCTCATTCAAACAGGGGGAAATGATTATAGAAAAAAGGAAATCATTTGAATGGACACATATGACAAAACACTGAAAAGAAAATGCAGAAAAGAAAAAAGCAAATACAAACAGAAATTTATATAACTGAAAGAAATGGAAGAATTGTAAGATTTTATAATAGGGAACAAATTTTCAAATAAATGCATGACTTTTTAAATTGACTGTGCCTGTGTAAAGTTGTGTATATTACAAAAACAGCCCTGCCAAATCTCAATCATTTGGAAAAGAATGACTGCCTAATTTGAGATTAGCTGTAACAGAATTTTGAGCATTAAAATTTGCAGGACATTGAGGTTAAAATTTGCAGGTAAACATACAATTAAGGGATAACTTGAAAATCATATTTTCTATTTACTGAGTTTACTTTCACTATACTGTTCCCCTATATATAGCAGTTTCTCCATTGCTGAAAAGATGGGAGCAGAAAACCCTCTTTATAACAGTTTTTTTTTAATTTCACATTATTGTGGCATAAATGCATTAATTTAAAAAATTCGAGGGTCTCTAGCATACCTATGTTACAGAAACACCTTACATTATTTAAACTGAAATAAATGTATAAGACCATTTACTTTTCAACCCTTTTTTTGTATTTCCCTCCTCACAAGGACAACAGAACAGGTAGTTTCAGTTGGTTTTGATCCATTTCAATTTTAGATTCATGCACCATCATAAAACTGCAGTATTAGAATTGAAAACAAGGAATGGACTCGGTTAAAAGTACTCATCTTTCCTATTTTTTTGTAAACATGAATTGATCTCATTTTATCTAAGATTGTTTTTAAAATTTCCAAATATTGTGCCAAATTTGATAGTGTCCCTTTAACAGAACCTTCATTTTTGTGCTGTATGAATTGAAATGAGACTTCTTCAACACTTACCCTAATTGTCTCCCAACTTGAGGATTCAGGCCAAATGCAAGCATAAAATAAAACGCCACACCATCTGTACAGGTTTCTAAACTAATTAATCATTTGCAAAGAAATACTCTCTGAGGATTTTAGGGGACAGCCTGATGCGCCTATGTACAGTAGTTAAAAACAAAAACAAGACAGCGGGAGGAGGGATTATACGTCAACCACACCGAGACATTTATAGAACCAGTTGGAGGATAACCTCTAGAGAAAATGACAAATCAGCATGGGCTCTGCTTGAAATGAGACTGTCAATGTGAAGATGAGGAGACTTTGACAGTTACAATAGCAATCGTTACCTGAGCCACCTACCAAAAAGCTACAATACACACATGCCCCGAGCTATTTAAGCAGTTGGACCCTCTCCAGTGAAAACTCCACAACCCATCCATGCCGCTCGCCGCCGGGAACCTG